CAAGAGTTAGGGCCAGTGGTGGATGCAAGGCATCTGCAGTGGAGAGGAGAGGTCCTAGGATGAGGAGGGCGGCCTGGGATCGCGCCAGGGAAAGCAGTCTTCCCGGGTTTCCGCACCAAGCTGAAAGGTTTGCAGCAGTAAAGAAAAAGAGATCCAGGCAAAGGTTCTGACAGGCAGAAACTTTACTGCTATTGCACTCTGGAGCTGAGGTTCACCAATCCCCACGGGGATCAGAGAAATTACATCCATTGGGGGACAGGAGTAAGTTTTTACAAGGCATTGAAGTTACTGTTAGAGTTCAAGAAGTGCTGAGCCACAGAACCGATACAAAAGCCAAGTACAAGCCTTTATTGCTAGCACAGGCTAGGGTCCAATCCCTGGAGTATACCGACACTGTGGTCTTGCCCAGACAGGATGGACCCTGACACTCTGAACAGAGGGCCTTATATAGCGAAATTTGCCGGCTGGGAAATTTCCAAAGTATAATGCAGTCTGTTAGGATGAATCATTCTTGCCTCCTGCATGCAGGTGGTAATTTCAGATAATGTCCTGCTGGTGCATGGGCTTCTGATAACATCCAGGCCTCCACTAACATTCCCTTAGTTTTTAACAATGTTTCAGCATTCCAATACTTTTACATTCCCCCTTTTTTGTTTTGTGACTGTTGTCAGTGGACCCAATCATGGGTCACAAAGCTGAGTACTCTTCTGGGGAAGTGCACAAATGTTGATAATGTTGCCTGAGCACGAGTGTTTGTACCACCTCAAACCGATCCTGCACAAAAGCATGCAATTGATTATATAGAGGCCAAAAGTGAGCATTAGCGTAAGCAGTATGAGGAGTCCAGCAAGGGCAGAAATCAGAGTGACTGATTAAACCATCCCTCAAACCAAGATTCTCTAGCCACCCGTTCCCGTTTTCTCTTTCCGAGCCCCTCTCAGAGCTGGGCCATTGAATCCCTGACTGTTCCTGTGTGGTCTGCATAAAAACAGGACTCTTCCTTCCTTTAGGGCAGCACACACACCTCCTTCCTTAAGAAAGAGTAAATGTAGGCCCTGCCTATGTTGCAATACTACTTCCGAGAGGGAGGTAAGATGCCATTCCAAGTCCCTGTCAATGGCATCTCTCAAAGTTAGCATGTGACTGACTCTCTTGTCTGGTGAGGGCAGTGCCCACCAAGCTGGCTCCTGCCAGGCCTAACAAGAATGATACCATAAGGACGGCCCCCACCACCTGTGGTTTCTGCGGGTGGGTAATTCTTTCTTGGCTCACGAGAAAAGCATCTTGATCCTGATAAACTATGTGAGGGAACAGCCTTACCAACATACACCATTCTGGGGTATTCTGTGGTATCACACCAGAGACACTTGAGGTGACCCCCGTAGCATGCATACCCATCAAGCATTTTCAGGGGCCAAGTTAATAGAGACTTCTATTACTCTTAATAGCTCTATTGCAGAACCGCTCAGGTCCTTGGTTTTTTGGGGGGCCTACACATGTGCCTGCCCCTTGGACATTGTTGTAGAGTGATGCCGTGGGTCGTCGGACGAGTCCACCTGCAACTTTGTTGAGGCTGTCCAGAGACTGAATTGTTAAATATGGCACGGGCATCATAGTAGGGTGGTTGCATCTGGTAGCATAGCCAGCAAGACCGGCTGAGGTTAGGGGAGGTATAATTGAGGGCAGAATATGTGTTGATCATGAGCTGCCACAGAGGTTCTTCTTGCGGTTCTGGTGGGGATGAGAAGGCCAATCCTGGGGAGGAGAAGGCCAATCCTGGGGAGGAGGCAGTGACCCTTGAGGCTTGTTGCTGTCTGGAGTTGAGGCGGCGCTAGGGGCCGCCCTTGGGGGGGGGTTTAAGATTAGATTGGGCCCACCTTGTCTGAGCCTACAGCTATATGGCGAAGAGGCTCATGAAATACCCTAACCTGGAAGGTTCCTCCTGGGCCCCTACTCTCCCCCGGACATACAACTGGACACCCCATTGTAAACCTGTGATCCATCGTCTGTCCTTTTTGCCTGCCTCCGTAAAGGGCAGTTGAATAGTTTTGCACTTTCTGGCATCTCTATCTTTACATTTAGAAGTAATAAAGTCTCCAGTTACTGGACTATTCCAATGGCTGTAACCATTATTACTGGACACGCAGCTCCAAGAGTAGCAAAAAATATCAGGTCGCCGCCCCACACTGTAATTACGGAGGTATCCAGGACAAATGATAACCCTCCTGCTAGTACAGTTCTGCACCAGTCTCATGCTGCCATAGGTTTGTGCAGGGTTCCCCCGTTGTCCTACCAGAGCGAGGAGGCTAACTTCCAACACTGGTCACCAGGTCCACAGTGGGTGACCCTGAGAAAGCTGCGGGATCGGTTCTGAGGTGAGGAATAAACTGTCCTTGACCAGAGTTTGTGCTTCATTGGCTCGAGTCGGAGCCCACTGCCCCAGGTTTACCATCATACAAAGCAGCAACATCCTGGCACGATATCTTGATGCGCAGCAGGTTAGTGGGATTTGCCTGGACTGTCCACTCATCCAGTCGTCAGCTCCCCGCTGGTGACTGGCCTTGCATCTGGGTGATGTATCCATGCTGAGATGCCATCTACCTTAAGGGCAAAAGGGGTGGTGAAAATCACTAGGAAAGGCCCCTTCCATCTGGGCTCTAAGGTCTTGGGAGAGTGGCATCAGATCCACACCCAATCTCCTGGTTGGAAGGAATGCAGCTCATGCTTTTCCAGTTTTTCAGGGGTATGTAGGGCTTTAGCTCGGGCCATAGCTCAGCCCAGACCTTTTGCAGGGCCACCAACTGAAGCCCCAGTGGTTCAGGCCCTTGGGGGTCTACCCCCCTTTGGGACTATGGGTGGAGGGTGACCCAACATGATTTCGAAGGGAGTCAGCCCTAGCAAATAGGGGGCATTGCTGGCCAGGAACAGGGGGTAGGGTAGGAGCGTCACCCAGTCCCCGCCAGTCTCTAGGCACAATTTGGTCAATGTCGCCTTGAGTGTCTGATTCATTCGCTCTACATGGCCTGAAATTTGAGGGTGATATGTACAATGCAGTTTCCAATTTACCCCCACAGCCTGTGCGAATTGCTGCACAACTTTGGCTATGAATCCCGGGCCATTATCTGAGTTTATCACCTTGGGCGCTCCATAGCAAGGTACTATTTCTACTAACAACATTTTGCAGACTACTTGGGCCATCTCTTTCCTTGTAGCAAAGGCTTCTACCCATCCTGTGAATGTGTCAACCAGAACTAACAAATATTTATACCCATACTTGCCTGGCCTTACCTCGGTAAAATCAACTTCCCAGGCTTATCCCGGGTACTCCCCCCTACATCTTTTACCAATTGTGCCTGCTGGGCTGCCTACCCTCATGAGCTGGCAAGTCTTGCAGTCCTGCTGGATTTCCATGGCTATGGAGTGGTAATGGGGAAAGTCTAGTTGCCCCTGTGAACCAGTTTTTGCACTTTGGCCACACTAAGGTGGGTGGTCTGATGGGGCACCACCCCGGCCCTTGGGGATGCAATCGTCCATGAACACAGATTCTAGATTGAAACATAGGTCAAAGAACCAGGCCCCGGGGGCTGATCTGTCGAGGTCTGGTTCCCTGCTCCTGATGAACCAAGTGAGCAGTATGAGCAAGTGTGGGTTGCTGGTCGTCGCAGGAAGGCTCAGGAGCAGCAGCAGGAGCCCGATGGCGCAGGGACAGCTTGAAGAGATGTGGTGGGGTGGCACATGACTTTCCAGCATTGGAAGCGGGCATCCGTTTGACGTGGGAGTGGTGGACCCACGGAGCGATGCCATCGGACAGCGATGCCATCGGACATCGATGGTGAGGACAACCAGGTAGGGCCCTTTCCACCCTGCTTTAAGTGCTTTAAGCGGCCCCTGTAATCCGTGGTTATGTTATTTAAAGTCACTTTCCTACAGTCCTTCATGCAAGTGGTAATTTCATAAAATGTCCTGCTGGGCCTGGCTTCTGATAACATTCAGGCCTCACCTAACATTCCGATAGTTTTTAACCACAAGCAACATATTAACAATGTTTCAACATTCCAATCCTTTTACATTAGTTGTTTACACAGTTGTGTAAAGAGGGCAGAGGTGGTTCCCAGAAAGCAAGGGGCAGCAGTTTTTAAGTTTCTCCTTCCTACCAGTCTTGCCCCTACCTGGACCTTACACAAGTGTCTTCTCTTTTCCTGGTTTGTTTTGTTTTGTTTTTTAATACAATAAACTGTCTTTTGGATATAACCAAAAGTCTACCTCATGGAACAACTCCCCAAGTGTGCTGAAAGGGGGAAGTCTGGTAATATAAGAGTGCCAAGAACTCTCCAGAACACCCCCAGTTGTTATTCCAATGTGGTTGCCTTATCAGGTGAGAGAACCAGAGCTATCAATTCCACTTTGCTTTAGGGCCATGTATTGGGATGCTTTGGGATCCCAATGTATTGGGATCAAATTCCTCAGTAGCATGCAGGAAGAGGAACGGAGGAAGTACTTCCTGTCCTAACGGTAATGTTAAACCTGCGAGGCACCAGAGCCCAGAGAAGGACCAGTGAGTCTTGAAGGTGGGTGGTGGGAGGCAGGGGAGGATGGACCAGGGGAGAAGGAAGGGTACGTCTGAGAAACATACATAAAATCTAGATATAATCTTTAAAAATAAAAATCCTTAAATTTGTCACACATATGCTATGATAAGGAAAGGTAGCTCTTACCATTCACAAGCGTTATGAGGGAAAGGAATGCCACACGGTCGCGTACAGATGTTTCCTTTCGCGCCACAAGGTGTGCGCAAGCGCAGAGAGCTTCCCAGCTCACCCATTGAATACGGCGGGGCATCGATCAACTCCATACTCAGCTTTTGGACTTGTCGGCACTCGATTGAGGCTCCTGGGCTTTACTTCCGGTGCCTGGTTCCGTTTCCGGCTTTCATTCTTAATCGGGAGTAGGCGCAGACTTTAGGTGAGTTGGGGCACGTTTTCCCTCTTTCCGTTTTCTAGGTTGCGATTGCCTCTGCTCATAAATCCTCCAAGGTGGGAGCCGCGAGTAGACGAGGCGGAATGTTGAAACGCGGACGCGTGCAGCCGAGGGTTCGCGCAAGGCTGCTCTAGGCGGTGAGGAAAGGATGGGCACTGGCGAGGTGGCTAGCAAGGCCCGCAGCTCTGGAGCTTGTCTCTGTTTTTGGCGGTGGGTCGTGTGGCCGCATGTTTGGGTTTCGGACTGGTTGCTTGGGTGAAAACGCCTGTCTTTGAAACGGGAGTTTCACAGACTTACGAGGTGACGGGTAGATAACTAATGTCTCTTTGCTTGTGCTGGACGTTACTAGCTCTCTGTGCTTTCCGGAGTTTCTTTTAGGATTGGGAAATCGACTCAGTAGCCCGGGCCACCATCAAGCCTCACATGAGATATTACAGGAGCCTCCTTTCTGATTTCTTCTCATTATTTTGACCTATCACTTACAATTTGTTGTCATCTTCGCGACTGCAGCCCACTAGGTTCTAGTTGATGGAGTGGCAGGTCTCGTAGTGTTATCTATTACACAAGCACAATCCCTGTCGATAGGCTCTATCTTTGTAAGTCATCCTGTACGTTTTTTTAATTGAAGGGATATGTGAGATATTCACAGCAAGCTCACAATTTGCGGGTAATGACAGTTAAAAAATGAAATGGTGTGCTAGATGTGAAAGAAAATTGCACAGACTGAAGATATGGGCTGACTTCCCAGGATTGTTGCTTTATTAATGCCGTAACAAGCCCCTTAACCTGTGCTAGCCGTTAGTAAGTTATTTTAAGTGCTTTCTGCGATGCTGGAACTAGATGCTACAGCTTTATGTCATTTAGCCCTCTGATTTCTTCTGGATAGATGCTGTTACCACCCTCATTTTAGTGATGTGGGACTGTGAGATTAAGGAACTTGTCTTCAGTCAAGAACAATAAAGAAACATAGGAAGGGTTTCAATTCATATCTGGCTAGTATTAGATTCTGAGCTCTTAATCATTATGCAATACTGAACACCACTTTTTCGATCTAATTACAGTTAATTTCGAAGTCAGGATAGCTAGTGATGGCATATCTAAATAAAGTAAAAGTTGTGAACGTGCTTGGTAAACTTCATTAATGTTTTAAATCATTTAAAGGGGATACGTTTGCTAGTGTTTCATTTTGGTTCACATTATTCGGTTTTAAGACTTCATTTAAAATAGCTACTTCATAGGCCCTCCCTGGTGGCGTAGCGGGTTAAAGCACAGCACTGAGAATCTAAAAGCCACTTCCGCATGAATTGAGTTCGATTCCCGCCTGCCCTGGAGGTGACCACATGGTGTGGCAGACCTCTCCTGCCTGCCCGCTGCTCCCCTCAGCAGTGTACTTCGTCGATCTGCCTGTCCTGTTTCCCACTCTCTGGTGAAGCCTCTCACCGCCCCTGAGCCTCTGGCCTGTACCCCAGTTCTGTATGCACAAATAAATAAATCTTAAAAAAAAAATAAATGTACAGCACAAAATGTTATAATCTGGCTACAAGCTGGTGTTTTGTCAAGTTTTGAGCCTGAGAACTGTTTGGTTAAAAGGAAGCCAGCAAGTGCTGGTGAGATTTTAAAGAATACTGCCAAACTGGCCCTCTCTGGTGGCACAATGGGTTAGGACGCAGCACTGCAAACCGGGAGCAACCACTTCAGTGCGAGTTGGATCCCCCACCTCTGACGGGATCCACATGGCCTGGCAGACCTCTCCTGACCCCGCTGCTCCTCTCAGCAATGTACTTCGTCAATCTTCCTGTTCTGCTCCCCACTCTGTCTCTGGTGAAGCTCTCACCACCCCTGCACCTGTGGCTTGTACTCCAGTTCTGTATGAATAAATAAATAAATCTTTAAAAAAAGATTACCGCCAAACTGATTTTGACATTTGGGATTGAAAGAAAATTGAAAAGTCTTAAGCTGTGTCCTTAGGCCACACTACATATGAAATAGTTTTCCATATTTATAATGTTCTGTCTTTGTAGAGTGTGTGAACAATTGAACCCATAACATGGATATCCGACCAAATCATACAATTTATATCAATAATATGAATGACAAAATCAAAAAAGAAGGTAAGTGCTTTTAAAAAGTTGTTTGCTCACAACCAGTGTATGTTTAATTATTACTGTCTTAAAAATTGTACTGCTTCAAAATTGCTATTTAGTCATCTTTCTCAATGTTTGAAACAATTATTTATTCCTTCTTTTATAAGAATGTTAAGACTTTTAAACAATATAAGCATGTGGGGTTTGAAAATTTTTGGGGTTAGTTTTAACTAATAGCTAATGGTTTTAAATTATACTTTCAGTCAGTCAGTGGGAAAGGTATAATATTACACTGTGTAACTTTTGGTAGTGGTGGGGGTGGCACTCAGTGCAGTATTATTTTATGAAATATTTGGCCTTTTTTTTCCACAAATAACTTATTCTCCCTTTAATTTTGCACAGAATTGAAGCGATCCCTATATGCCCTGTTTTCTCAGTTTGGTCATGTGGTTGATATTGTGGCTTTAAAGACCATGAAGATGAGAGGTCAAGCCTTTGTGATATTTAAGGAACTGGGCTCTTCCACAAATGCTTTGAGACAGTTACAAGGATTTCCATTTTATGGTAAACCAATGGTAAGTTGATCTTATTATTTGGGCTTTAATTGCCATTAATAATGGTATGGTAGATTTATAAATACACTTAAAACTGTGGCGGTTGCTTTTAAATATGTATTAGAATGAGTTTGGGTTATTTTATAGTAATTATTTTTATAGAATAATTAGTAGAGTTTATAATTCACTTAATTTGTGATCACTCAGTCATATACAAAGTATAGTAAGATACAGAATTTTAAAAAGGACAGTATAAATAATTTTCTCAAAAAATTACACATTAAAATAACTCAGGAGGTTGATAACAAAATTTGTGAACTTGTAAAACTATACATAACAAAAATGGATCAAGGAGAAAATCTAATCCGAAGTTTCAAAATATATCACTGTGAAATACTGTGTTAGCTTTGAAATGTTGATAAAGCAGTGACCTAGGAAAAATTTATAGGTTGGAATTTATAGATTTATTAGAGAATAATAATAATGAATGGAAATGAAATAGTTGCACATGGAAAGTATGAAACTTGCAAAATGACATGATGGTCACATTTAGCTAGTGAGTAAAGATTGGATTGTGAAGAACCACCAGTGAAGTAGTAAGGAGTTCTGCTTGGAGGCTTGAGGACAGTCAAGAGATGGTAAAGCATTTGTTCAGGTGGAGACAGAATAAAATAAGGAGTTCTACACTTGTACACAGTGCTTTGGGTGTGGATTCCATAATGCTTTACTTCTGGAATTGGAGATGTAATGGGAATGTAGGCTCAGAGTTCAAGTGCCTGAACTGAGTCCTCTTTCTGGTTCTGCTATTAACTACCTTTGTTTAGTTTTACCAGCTTTAAATGTAAGTAGGTTATTTTTAATCTGATTCAGAGGTCAGCAAAGCCTCTGTGAAGGACCAGATAACTAAATTTTTTAGACTTTGTAGGCCACATATGATTTCTGTTGCATATTCATTTGTGTGTGGGTGGGTGTGTTGAACAACCCTTCGGAATTTTTTAAAATAAAATGTTCTTAAGTCATAGACCATATACAAACAGGCCATAGGCTGGATTTAGACTATGGTCTATAGTGCACAGTACTGGCCTAATTCTTTTATTTTACAAATGAAGAATCTAGATTATATTAATACAATCAATGTCAGTAGCTGTCTTCCTAACACCCAATAATTTTTTGTTTCATTCAGAATTAGGGGTCAGGACATTCAAAAAAAGGGCCAGATAGTAAATGTTTTAGACTTTACAAGCAATATGCTCTCTGTTGCAGCTACATAATTCAGTCTTTATAGCAGGAAAATCACTCATAGATAGTTGGCAAATAAATGTTTGTGGGTCCGTTCCAGAAAGACAGTAATTAAAAAAAAAACAGGCAGTATTGGCTGTAGTCAGTAATTTCAGGACTTTTGTGTGGCTTTGTTTAATTCAGAGCTGAGCATTTTTTCTCTGTTAATGGAGCAAGTTTTCTTCTCATCCTCTATGCAGCTCTCCTTTTCCCATCACTTCTAGGTGACTGGGCATCATCTCTTTGGGACAGTCTATCCCAGAAATTGGAAAACAGTACCCACATATTGTAATATTTAGTAAATTTGTATTTCTTGAAACTAGTTTACCTTTCTTAGTATGAAGAAATAGCATCAATGAGATCTGAGTAGGCAGGGGCACAAAACTGGGTTTTAGTTAAGTCTCAAAGTATTTTAATATAAAAGAACAGTTTCTTCCTTTAGGAAATGTTTTCCTGACTTGAAATGACAAGTTTGCATGTGCCTATTAAGGAAAGCTGAAAATTTCTTGCTATCTTTGGCAGTTTACCTTGCCAACTACTAATTTTAAATCAATGGAAAAATTCATTAGGCTATTTTCATATTAAAGATATTTTAGGAGGTCCGTTTTTTGACTTCAGAAACATAGTAGATACTGCCAAATCTCCAGTATCTTGGAAGAGGAAGAAGTTCTCTTTGTATTTATTTCAAGTGGTTTTAGTAGTTCTCCTGTATAACTCCAATATACCAGATAAGAAGTGACAAAAATTTTCTATAATTTGAAACTCAGAGTACAATTTTTCTTTTACATTCAAGGATATTTGGTGATTTCAGTGGCAAAAATACCTCAGTAAAATTGAACCATTTCCCAAAAGGCTTCTACCCTGAAACTTTTGGCATAAATGTAGCTCTTGCCCTTTCTCTAAGTTGTGGGGGGACTTTTCTTCCTCATCAGTATAGTCTAGACCAGTATAGTTTTCCAACTCTGGCATTTTTGATATTTAGAACTATATAACTTCTTGTTTTGTGAGGCTGTCTTGTTCATTGCATTTAACAGCACCCTGGCCTCTGCCTTTATATACAGCGTCTCTTAATCATTCATGCCAGCTTGTCCATTGGTGGAAAGAATTAACTGACTGAGAACTACTGGCTTAAACCAGCCAATTAAGAGTGATAATTGAGATCAGATTTTCACAGCTATCTTCAAACAGTCACCCAAGATCTGTTTAGGTCAGGGAGAAGGTTGAAGACCCAAGAGTGGTGGGAGGGAACCCCCAGGACTAAGTCAGTTAGTCAGAGCTGTCAACCTTTTCCTTTTGATTTGATGCTGGCAGGAATTAGCTCATGTAGAACTGCCAGAGAATGTTTCTCTGGTAATGAGGTGTAGCAGCCTGCTCCCTTCTCGTTTCCCCAGTGTATTTATTTCTGGCTGAAATGAGAAAAGAAAGAATTACTCTTGGCTTTGATAGAGTCTTTGCTTTTTGAAGGCCCACAACACTTCAAATTGTCAATTGTTTCCTTCAGACTGAGATCAAATTCTAAGTACACAAAACAGTTTTATCTAGTAACTTGCAGGCTATTGTATTTTGATGTGATCAGAGAGGTAGTTTTGATTTTTTAGACACTAGGAAAGAAATGTTTCCTTGAAGTAAAAATTGCAGTTTACAAATGGACATATTCTAGCTGTTAAACTCTGAGCAAAACCTTTGGGCCGGTTAATTGTTACTGACTCGAGCTGTGCCATAGTGAAGTACTCCATAGCTAGGGACTTTAAGCTGAGGCACGTGCACCCTGCCATTCCTTTTGTGCTTGTCATAAGTGTAGTGTTTGGCCTCACAGTTAAAGTACACGAGGCGTTGTCCTAGTTCAAGAAGCTTTGCGGCACTTGCTGTTGCTCCGGTGCACACTTTCCGCCAGCTGTGACAGTAGGGCTGTGTGGGCAGCCTGGTTGCACTAGCAGTGATGCCAGTGCAGCTTTCGTCCTTTCAAAGCATTTTAAATATAGTTGATGCCACAATTAGTCACTTCATTTAAAATCATAGATCAGATTCAAAAGGAAGTCGTTCTTTACCACTTTAACTTTGGAAACAACAGCACCTATATCACACATTCCATAGCCAGTGGATACATTTGTCCCTTCTGTTGAGAGTCCCTGCTAAGGACTCAACAACCAGTGTTGTCTTTATATTGTGTTATCAAGTGGAGAGAAGCAGTGATACAGATACTTCAGTCTTGGTTTTCCCACAAAAATACATGGTTTCTCTTAATAAATGCGGTTGAATCTAACTTTGTCTAAGTGGTGAATCGTAAGCCATGATTTATTAATACTTTAATTTGGCATTCTGTTGTTAACAGATTTCCTTAGGGATGTCTTTAAAATTAGTTTTTATTGCATTTGCTAATGAAATTTGAAATATTAATGACTAGGATAAAGAGCCTTCAGCACAATGAAAGTAACCTGTTTCCAAACACTTAACAGCGAATCCAGTATGCAAAGACAGATTCTGATATAATATCTAAAATGCGTGGTACTTTTGCTGACAAAGAAAAGAAGAAGGAAAAGAAAAAAGCCAAAATTATAGAACAAACTGCATTGACTGCAAACAAAAAGCCTGGTCAGGTAAGAGTAGCAAAGTTCATTATTTTTTTTATGTTAAAAATGTGATAGGGGTATCTGTGTTCAGATAGGTGATTTTTGAGGCAGGTGTGCACACTGTGTGTTTGTGTAAAAGAGATTTTTAAGAATAGTTGTTCTAAAATTTCAATATTAATGAAACAAATTAAAATATGCCTTTACTCATGCAGATTTATATGACGTCCTTTTATTTAAATTTACATGACATTTTTATCATTAACAAAACCACTTGGTTTATTTCTCAAGTTCTGCTGCCTACAAATAATACTGTAGATATTATCTTTAATCAAAGCTGCTTTCTTTGAACAATTCAGGAATTTAAATTTAATTTAAAATACCATATTGAAGTGAATTGTCACCCAAAAAGTAGTTAACTTTTGGTTTCAAAAATAATTAGAAATCAGATTTACTAAGTATAATCTTGACATTTCTCTAATTATTTTTTTAAAAAAAGGAAAGAAAATCTGGTCCTTAGTTTTTCTTATATATTTCACCATAATTTTAAAGCTTGGTGGTTTAGTTTTTGACATAATCCTGCTCTTTAAAGTTTAGGGCTGAACGTTTAAAAAATATTTGACAAATTCAATACATGAATATTTGAGTCAGTAAAGATACAGATTCTTAGAGTAAAATTAAATGAAGTTTTAAAAATCTGTTTAATATTTTTATATAGTAACTATAAACATCAGCCTTTTTTTGAAGTATTGGCAATTTTAACTTTTTCTGTTCTGTTTAGGGAATGCCAAATTCAGCTAATATGCAGGGGACTGCAGCACCAAATCCTCAGGTATTTATTTTTTTCATGTGGTACTTAATTGCAAAATGAAATTATAAAAGAGTAACAATAATTATAACCTACATATCTCTAGAAACTGAAAATAATTCCGTCTGTAAACACAGCAGATTAAATTATATGACATTTTTATCTAGGAACTCATTTCTCAAAGCATGTTAATTTTCCTTAAGAGGGAGAAAACAAATCTTGGCTTTATTCCTTGCTTTCCATAATGGAAAAGATGAAGCCAAAATGCCAGATTTTAAACTCTGTGAAGAGTGGGAGCAAAATTGTTGTTTTCCCTACAACATTGTTTTCTTGATGATAGCCCAGGGCTTCTTAGAAATAAGACTTGCAGAACTGGCCAGCCATGCCAGGTGGCTAGGACACTAAACCATTGTTTCTTGCGAACTCCTACTCTGAGTATATATGATATATATTGTTTTACTGTTACCCTTGTTCCAGTTCACAGATATATTTAAGTCTCTTTATGTAGGTGTTTTTAAAATTCTTTACCAGATCTCCTGTTAACAGCCTTAGTTATGTACTAATTGCTTCATTGGATGCTCATGTCTGAAAAGATCTTAAATCCAGAAATTTCTTTGCACCAGTGAGGTTTTTCTCCTTTGATGTCTATTTGCATTTTCTTATTGTCTGTATTTTCCTCTTTAACTTATTCAACGATTATAATCCATTTCACAAATGCAAACACTTAATTCTCTAAGCCTTAAATTGTCACTAATTGTTCTTTACACTTTATCTTTCTCTTTCATGAAACTATCTTAAGACAGAGAGGTTCTTTTCCCGTATACAAGACCCTCTCCCTAAAATTTTCCCCCTAAGTTAGGGTAAAGTGTCAATCACATGTAATTTAATAGCTAGTAACAGTTCTTATTTCTACTTGCATATGACTAAATGCTGTGTGTCTTATGACTTATTAACTGCAAAAAACACTGTAAAAGATTCTGTTGATTCTCAGTGGTAATCATAATAGTTCTACATTTTCTAGGGTTGGGAGATAAGACTGTGATACAGAGAAATTGAGTATCTGGATGGTACTACTTGAGGAACTAGCCGAGGAGGGTGGGTCACGTTATTACCTTCTCCAATTACTGGTTTAAATATTCTTGATCAAATACTTAAAAATGGTACTATTTGTAATTGTCCAAATTTTTATTAAGTTATTTGAATGCTTCACTCAGTTACTATTAGATTCATACTTATTTCTCTGGTTTCATTCTATTTTAGCTTTAGTTTTCAGTGTAGTATGATATTTCATAAGACTTAATGTACAGGAATGTAACTCCTGAAAGTAGAAATTAGTAAGAGCCAAGTGACTTACAAGACTTTTTATACAAAGCTAACTTTGCCCTTTTTCTTTTTAATAGGTCCCTGATTACCCTCCAAACTATATTTTATTCCTTAATAATTTACCAGAAGAGACTAATGAGATGATGTTATCCATGCTGTTTAATCAGTAAGTTTTTCATATACAAGTATGTATTCTGAGCACCTTCTGACAGGACACACATTAGCTCCTTGATTGACTCCATTTGTGTTATCATACAACATCCTTAAAGGTTCATTGATGTGGTCAAGGATTAGTTCGGCATGTAGACCAGTCTGCAGACTTAGCAAATACAAAGCCAAAATAACTCCTAATGTTTGAATCATTATTTCTATTTGTTGAGTAAAACAGGAAACAGAGCTTTGATACGATGATCAAAGTAGAAGTAGCTTACATTATCCCTGCAGTTCTGTCATGGCATTAGTTTTATTTTAGGTTCTTTCATCCTACTCAGGATTCTTTCTAGGATTTATATTTTTCCTGTACTAGTATCTGAAAGTTGCCTATTTAAACATAAAAAGTAGATGTTTTTTTTTTTTTTTAAAGATTTATTTATTTATACAGAACCCGGGGTACAGGCCAGAGATGTGGAGGGTGAGAGGATTCACCAGAGACAGAGTGGGGTGCAGAACAGGCAGATTGATGAAGTACACTGCTGAGGGGAGCAGCGGGTGGGTCAGGAGAGGTCTGCCACGCCATGTGGATCTCTTCCGGGACAGGCGGGGATCAAACTCATATGGAGTGTCTTACGCTTAGTGCAGTGCTTTAACCCGCTGCGCCACCAGGCAGGGCCAGATGTTTATCTTTCTGATAATTTGTGTATTGATATATGTGTGAATTGTTTTTCTTCTTGTTTACAGGTTCCCTGGTTTCAAGGAAGTACGTTTGGTACCTGGAAGGCATGATATTGCTTTTGTTGAGTTTGAAAATGATGGACAGGCTGGAGCTGCCAGGGATGCATTACAAGGGTTTAAGATCACACCATCACATGCCATGAAGATCACCTATGCCAAGAAATAACTTTGGGATAGTTGTCTTAAAAAGGACTTGATGTTATTTAGGGTTTTTTTTGTTTGTTTGTTTTAAATAACATTTGGTCAGGTTATTTTTAATAGTTGACCCAGAGTAAGCGATGGGGGGGCATAGAGAGAGTGAAATTTTTGTGAAGGATTAATAAAATTGCTAGTATTTCTTAAACCTTGGTGAGCTATGAAATACTAAGGCCTGAATTTTGTACAATAAATTTTTATTTGTATTCTACACATTCATAATGCTTTATTGGTCTACTTTCCTATCATGAAATGCTTATTGCTATTCTAGAACACATCTTAAAGTAAATGCAACAATAGAATGTCTAGTATTTGAGCAGCTAATGGTCAAGAAACTTTAGACCTTTTTTGTTGTTGTTGTTGTTAAAGATTTATTTATTTATGCATATAGAATTGGGATACAAGCCAGAGCTGCAGGGGCAGTGAGTGGATTCACCAGAGACAGAGTGGGGAGCAGAACAGGCAGATTGATGAAGTACACTGCTGAAGGGAGCAGCAGGTGGATCAGGAGAGGTCTGCGTCATGATCACCTCAGGGGCAGGGATCGAACTCATGCTGAAGTGGCTTTAGCTCTTTAGTGCTGCACCGTAACCCGCTGCACCACCAGGGAGGGCCGAACATTAGACCATTTTAACAAAAGTAATGAAATAGATCACGGGCTAGTTGTTGACTTTTACATAGATGGTAAAAATATCCACCTGGGTATTAGGTAGAAATGAGACCTGAGAAGGACTAAATTTGATCTTTCCTTCAAATAATGAGGATAGTGATTTACTGGTTGTAGGCATTTCGTGAGTATTTTCACTTAATGTTTAATTGAATAAAGGGCATTTGACATTAACTAAGGCTAAGACTTAGTTAAGAAAAAGCTAAGGTTTTTTTCTGGGAAACAGAGGGAAAAGGACTTTTAAGCTTCACAATTTATGTTCTTATCCTCCAAAGGTAGGATTGTTCGTAAGAAATAGCTGCTTGGTTAATATCTAACCTCTTTTCTTTCTTTCTTTTTTTTTTTTTTTTTTTTTTTTTAAGATTTATTTATTTACGCATACAGAGCTGGGGTACAGGCGATTGAACTTGTTTTGTGTATAGCTTCATAGTGCTGTGCTTTAACCCCTTGTGCCAGCAGGGAGGCCCAATATCTAACCTCTAAGGGAAAGATCTTAATCTGTATTTTTTGGACAAATAGACTAATTGCAAAGCATTGCCAGTCTGATATGGCTACCTTTTTATAATCCTAAAACACCATTGTAAACTTCCCAGTTTATTTTCTTTAGCATTTTACTTAAACTTAAGGCTATTGATCTAGTCCCCTAATAAAATCATGAGTATCATTAGAAGTGGATTTTTTTTCTGCACATGTAGCAATCTAAATGACACATGATGTGTTTTTGTCATTGTTCTCCTTGAACAAACTTCACTTAGAATTTGTGTGTACTTATGGAAAGACAACTTTTGAATTTATGTAGAACAGAATATTGTCACTTGTGCATACATAAGGAGGAAAGAAGAAAATTTTTATTGCTAAAGTGCTTTTTTAAAGATTTGTTTATTTGTACATACAGAACTGGGGTACAGGCCAGAGGCTCAGGGGCAGCAAGAGGCTTCACCAGAGACAGAGTGGGGAGCAGAACAGGCAGATCGACAAAGTACACTGCTTAGGGGAGCAGC